GAGCCATTACAATATACAGGGAATGGATTTTTCAATTTGTCAAGTTCCAGTGAGTATATTAGCAGAATCTTCTGTCTGTCAGCAGGCACGTGGTGATGTCAGTAGCATCTCTAATTTTGATTGTTCTGAGTCTTTGTGTTTATGCAGGTCTCCAGTGCCTGAAGGCCTCTCTCCCCTTTCCCTCCGGCTGATTTCCCTTACATCTCTTCTCATCTTAGCTGAGCCTTTAGAATGATACATACTGAAAGCAACCTGTGAGATAGGAAATATATTGATAAAATATGGGTTTAAGCTCTGGGAATCCTGTTGAAAAGAAAGAAGATGGATTGTGGGAGCCAGAGGGGTCATGGCAGGAGAACCCACAGAGACAGCTGACCTGAGCTCATGGGAGCTCATGGACTCTGGACCAACAGCTAGGGAGCCTGTATGGGACTGACCTAGGCCCTCTGCATGTGAGTGACAGTTGTGTATCTTGGTCTGTTTGTGGGGCTCCTAGCAGTGGGATCAGGACTTGTTTCTGATGCTTGAGCTGGCTTTTAGAACCTATTCCCTATGGTGGGATGCCTTGCTCAGCCTTGATGCAGTGGGAGGAGCTTGGTCCTGCTTCAACTTGATAGTCTATAATTTGTTGACTCCCATGGGAGGCCTGCCCCTTTCTGAACAGAGGAGAAGGAGGAATGGATGGGAGAGGAGTAGGTGGGAGGTGGGGGGAGGAAACTGTGGACGATAGGTAAAATCAATAGAAAAAAAGAGAATCATGCTATAGAGCTACAGCCGAGAGCCATGTCTGGATCAATGGCTCTATCTCAGCCAGGGTCTGTGTTGATGTCCCAGGTTCCTTTTATCATCAAAGGCCATGCTGATGCCCGTGGTCTGGGCCACCACTTGGGGCCATGTGGGTGTCCAAGGATCATGCTGGGGCACTGAGTGGCATGTGCTGCCACCCATGGTGACATCTGGGCCCACACTGCTGCCAAGGAACATGTCTGGGTCCGTAGTCCTACTGCAGCTGGGGTCTGTATTGCTGTCCATGGCCCCTGTTGTTATTAAAGGCTACACGGATGCTTGGGGTCTGGGCCACTACCTGTGTCCATATTGGTGTCTAAGGGCTGTGCTGCAGCTGGAGCCATGCCAGTCTGGGTGACCTGTGCTGCCATGTCTGGTCCATGGTCTGCTGCAGTGGGAATCTGTGTTGATGTTTGTTGCTCATGTTACCACAGGGGCTCACGCCAATCATGCAATCATGAAATTCGAGGGCCATGCTGAGCTGGGCCTGCCCTCCACTGTCCCATATAGGAGAGCTAGCTCCAATGATTCAGGCACAAGATAGCTGCCCCTGCCCCTCAGGGGAGAGCTGGCCCCCTCAACTTAGAAGAAAGCTGACCCCGCCCCCCATTCAGGAGAACTGGCCCCACCCCTCACCACAGGCATGTGAGAGCTGGCTTTTCCCCTGCTTGAGGGGGGTGGTTCCAGTGGCCTGGTCTGACCTACTCAGCTACCATCTAGGCACTCATCAACATCTGTCCCATCTATGGCCTGCTGGAGCATGTAAAGGAACTGGTCTTGCAGAATCATAGCCGCAGGATCGCCATGATTTGGAGCAACAGCAGGAGAGGAGTTTGGATGAGGGTCCAGTATTGATGGTCTACCAGAAGCTGGAGACCTTGAAGCAGACCAACAATTCATTACACATTGACATTTGCAAATACAGCTGATTGGACAAAAGGGTCTACTGCATGACACACTGCAGCTCCCAAAGAGCTGAATGAAGAGGTGAGGGAGAGGTCGGAAAGATAGAGGAGCAAAGTGATGTTTGTTTTGCTTTTTTGTTGTTTTTTTAATTAATACTGTTATTTATTTATTTATTTATTTATTTATTTATTTATCTTTTGAAGGGGTTACTATAAGGGTGAAGGACAAATATGGAGGAATTGGGAGGTGGGTGGGATTGGAGTACATGATGCAAAATTCCCCCAAAAAAATCAATTAAAAATGTGTTTGAGCCGGGCAGTGGTGGCGCACGTCTTTAATCCCAGCACTCGGGAGGCAGAGCCAGGCGGATCTCTGTGAGTTCGAGGCCAGCCTGGGCTACCAAGTGAGTTCCAGGAAAAGGCACAAAGCTACACAGAGAAACCCTGTCTCGAAAAACAAAAAACAAAAAAAAAAAAAAAAAAAATGTGTTTGAAAAGAAAGAAAAAAGAAGGACTCAAGCTTTAGGGTGATTTGTTTCATTGGTTATCTTTAATTATCTCACAAGTTAATGAAGGTGATTTATCAGTGAGAGGTTCTTATTTTTTCCCAGAGCTTTACTAAACTTCAGGGGCAGATCTGTGGCCTCATAGTTTAGCGATGATTCTGAACTCCTGTGCAATGATGTATGGCAGCTTCAGCCCCGCCTCCTCTGTTCTCCTCATGAGCTACACTTTGGTGGCTGTGGGATGAGGTGTGGCAGGATGCAGGAACTTCAGGAGGGCTGTGCTAGGTTGGACAAATTAGAATATTGTAAGCATTCCTAAAGGAAGACTTGCAGTCTGCTGGGCTTCATAGCAACACAAGATTGGCTCTAGCAATGCTTTGGACTGCTTTCAGATTAGAATGCAGACAGAGAAGGCAATTGTGCAGCTCATATTACATGGTTAAAAGGTGGGAGGTGTACCTGAAATTAGTATATTTTTTTTTGATGAGATTAGTAATACAATTATGTGTTTTTAAATTGGAATTATTTGGGGATAGTAATTAAAGAACAGATTTCATTTGTTTGTGAATATGTCCAATTTAAGCAAGTAACTGCATGGTAGTAGTTGAACAAAAAAATCCCTTTTGCCGGGCGGTGGTGGCGCACGCCTTTAATCCCAGCACTCGGGAGGCAGAGCCAGGCGGATCTCTGTGAGTTCGAGGCCAGCCTGGGCTACCAAGTGAGCTCCAGGAAAAGGCGCAAAGCTACACAGAGAAACACTGTCTCAAAAAAAAAAAAAATCCCTTTTGGTTGTATGCAATTTGCATTTGTCTAGTAAACTTGAACTCACATTATTTATTTTTTTTATCTATTTTTTTTTTTTTTTTGGTTTTTCGAGACAGGGTCTCTCTGTGTAGCTTTGCGCCTTTCCTGGAACTCACTTGGTAGTCCAGGCTGGCCTCGAACTCACAGGGATCCTCCTGGCTCTGCCTCCCGAGTGCTGGGATTAAAGGCGTGCGCTACCACCGCCCGGCTGAACTCACATTATTATGTCTATATTACTTTATTATTTCATCATTGTGTAGTAAACTTTACCCATGAATGTGAGGTCCTTTAACATCTCTGTTACCTGTTGCTGCTAACAGATTCATGAGGTGAATTTACTGTCTTCAAGCTCTGATGGTGTGAAGTCTAATAAACAGTCTTGTACAGCTAAAATCAAGAAGCCAGCAGGATGGCATTCTTTCCCCAGCTCCATCCCTTATACTTTCTACCTTCTAGAAAGTTCTACCAGAAGGTCCCACATTGCTGGCCTCTTTGACCCCTCTATCAGTGGTATCATTCTGACCTCTTTCTTTGTGGCAATTCCTTCTCTGATATTGGCACTCCTTCCTGTTTTAGGAAGACCACTGTGATTATACAAGACCTCCTTGGAAAGCCCAGGGCAAACTCTTCATCTCAAGCCTTTACATTATCATACCAGCAAAGCCCACTTTTCTATATAAAGAAACAATATTTTAGGTTCTAGAGACCAGACTGTAAAACCTTTGAAGGAGTTGTTAATCTCCTCATCACATCTATATTTTATATTCTGTTAAAAAATAATATGTTAGTTTGATGCTTAAAGTCTTGTGGATCTCAAAGCCTTCAATTTGACTTAGACAGAACAACTGCAACTTTTAGCAACTTGATTAACCTTGCAGAATGTTAATATTTCAGCTGCAACTGGAATGTTTAGATTGGACCCAAAGTATATTATGTACTCAGTACAGTCACTCATTCCCAGTTCTTTAAAAAGATTATGTCTTCCTACATGTTAAAGTAAAAGTCTAAGTGAACACTGGCATGGCGGCATCTCCAGAATCTATAGGCTAGTTGAGGAGGTCATTGCCAGACATGTAATCCCTCAGAGAACACAAAGCATGGTAGAGAACCATGTCCCACTTAAGAAAGACCTGTGTTATGGGAACTTGTCTTGAAGAATTTGAGTTACAATTAAGTTTGGTGAAGATTTCCTAGGAAGTGACTGGGATATGAACAATGTAAAGAATTGAACAAGGGCCACAAGATGCTCAGTGGATAGTGAACTGAAAGAGGATGGGAGGGAAAGGAAGTGCCTCCTAACAGGCAGAGGATGGACAGGTACAAAGGTTCATAGGATAAGGGAAGAGAGTGAGTTGGAAGTGCTGGTGATGGTGGCATAAATAATAACTACATCAATATAATTCTGTAAGTTGGCATATGAACCAAACTCTTCCTTATCTAGGCAAGTGACTTCAGATAAGTCACTTACCTTTTCTATGTCACAATTCCTTCACTGATGGAATTGTGACAATTACCGTAGTTCTTAGAGACTGGATAGCTCAACCTAGAAAATAATCTCTGTGCACACAGTGAGCACTCCATAAATTTTACCACTCATTCTAACATTCTCAACCATGACCTTATTCATCCTTACATCAGCCTTATGATGTAACTAGAAACTGAGGCAGAGTACAGTAGATAGCTTGTCCAGGTTCCTGCAGCAAGTACCTGAGAGAGCAGAGATGTGAGAGAAGGCACATCTGCCTGCATGAAGCTGGAGCTTTCCCGCTTGGGTGTCAGCACTCCTGAGGTGACTTCCCCAGACAAATGGGACAACACTGAAAATGTTTTGTACAAAGCAAACCTAACTCCATAAATAAAACACTGATCATTCGCAGTACCTGCCCCACGACTGTTTCCTGCTATTTTTAGTTATACAGTTTTATAACAAAGAACACATGGGGCAGGTAAAGTTGACCTGTTTCATTTCTTCTCCTGTTCATTTTCTATGTAATTTCAGGAAAATAAAAGGCAAGAAGAAGCACTGGATTCCAAATGTGTCTGTGTCTCCATTGACTCCCTGGCATCATTCTGCTTGGCCTGGGTGCTAGAATTGGTATCTGAGGTACCAGTGAGTCTTGAGCAGCCTATTCTCTTCATTCCTTTAGATTCTGGATATCAAGGATTTGAGGTAATGATAAACAATGATAACCACCACTTGAGGTTCAACTAATTTCAAAGTATCAGAGTCTAAAATTATTTCACATTAAGTCTGTGCCAACTTATTTGACCCTCTTTTAATCAAGGAGAAAACATTTCAAGAATGGGGCTTCTCCTAGGATTCCAAGCCTCCTCTTGTTGATGGTGTTGGCCCATAGAATGCAGGACTGCTGGCTTAACAGATATTTTGAATTGGCAGAGTGCCAGATCTTCATCTCTTCCTGGAAGTTGTCATAGATTGGAGTTTAAAATTCATTGATTAATTTTGGAAGTTTGGAATAATACAGTGAGGGTTTTTTAATACTCCCCCTTTTAATTTTTATCATTAATGTAAAACAATAAAAAGGAACACATCTTAAGTGGAAAATGTTTGGTCCTACAATTCTTTCCTGGCCAAATCAAACAGAACATACATAAAAAGGTAGACAGAGCTTCTATTTGTCAAATGATGGATTATTCTTTTCATTCATGTAGACATCTGGCAGTGTCAAGATACATGTATTGAGTAATTATGATTCCACAAAGATATTGTATGATAGAATTATTTTCACAGATAAGCACAAAAATCATATTTTTTCATGAAGTTCTTGTATGATGGTTTGGCATTGAAGAAGTGTGCAATACCAATGAATATCTCTTCATTTGTTTGAGCCTCTGTCTTCAATCTCTTTGATAAATTCAGGGTAACCATCCAACCCCTAGAAAAGAGTGATGTGAAGCATTACAATGGGGTATATCATTTTGCAATACACAGATTTCAAAATCTGGCCAATGGTTAACTGGACTAATGAAAAAAGATGGTATTGGCAGCGTAGAGCTCTGCTTTCAAAGTCAGAACCAACAGCGTGTCTTATGCATTGACTGAAATAATGTAGTGAAACCCCTTTATCTCTTAACAAGCTACCTCCAGTCATGAAATTCCCTTTGCTATGCTGCAGCCTCAATGTGAGAAGGGAGAACATGTTCAGATATTGAAAAACTGTAGGCCATTACCCACTTTATCACTCATATCAAAGACACTGAAAAGATAGCACATGTGCAATTGATGGATTATTTTCATCATGAAAGTCTGATGACCCCACTTGGGTTTTCAAACAAGGCATTTAATAACCACTGCCTTGTTAAAAGGTGGAAAATGATCTGGCTGGTGGCCTGATAGGACGAGGTTTTATTGATTTTACTGAAGCCCTTGGCTTGGGAGATCACAGGCTTCTTAAGGGCAAACTTAAAAGGAAGCATTAAGATGGATGAGTAATTACCTGTGTGATGGACGTCATTCTGCAAACATCAGGACTGGGAAGTTTTCCTTTGGGTATCAGTTGATGAGGGAGAGGGAAAGCATGGGCCAAGCCTCATTTCAACCACTTTTAGTCTTCTTGCGGACTTGTGAATTGGCTTTGCTCTGGTGGAGGGTTGGTGTAGATGACTTTAAAAGGCAAACTTAATTGTCGATTTATAAGGAGGAAAGAGAGACTGTTATGGATACTAGAAAAAAAATCGTGTTTCAAATGCTATGAAAGAGAGAGAAAAAAGTAGATAACGTCATGCATACTGTTAGTTTTGGTGGCTCTGAGTCCCTTGGAATGAAGAGTGAAGATCTCTGAGCCTGCAGCTCCTTCCCAAGAAGCCAGACTAAGCTTGATGGGACGTTGGAAAAGAGGCGTAGATGGCAGTCTAGAAGAGGAATGGCTGTGTAGGAGTCAGAATCACAGCAGAGCTCTGAGGATGTCACAGGCTGATGCACGGTGGAGCGACAGAGCAGTGCTGAGGGGCAGCACAGGCTGCGGTTTCACTCCGACGGTGGGTGTTCTGTGGACTGGCACGTGGCTGCTTGAGCTACTTTAACAACGGTCTAGCCCCTTCCCCATCTCCTCTCTGAATCTGTGCTGCTGTGACTTAACAAGGCCACAGTGAAGGTGGGTGGAGCAAGGGGGAAAGAGTGAGGCTTACTGGGATCTCAGGTGTTGGATCTTAGCTGTGCCAGAAGTCCCTTCAATGCTGTTAAGCAGAAGTGAGCAATTCTCTTAACGAAGACTCAACTGAGTGTTGTTTTGATACACTAATTATAGTCCAGTGCTATGCTATCATAGAATAACATATGGGAGGTTATTTCTGCATGACGAAGCACTCGTGGCTAGAATGCATTTTTCCATTATATGAATTTTTAAATATTTGTGCAAATGGGCATTTTCCCAAAGGGGGAGAAATGATACATAGGTATTTTGCTTTGTCAGAAGCAATCTATACCGAAGTATTGTTATAAATAATAAATATTTGTGAAGGGTACTTGAGTCGTTTTCTCTCCTCTCTTATAATATAAATTACAACTCTACCATGAGGTAACCTGTATGGGAGACTTCAAACCACAGTGTTTTCTTGATAACACACACACACACACACACACACACACACACACACACACACACACGAGGGATGTCGAAGACCAATCAATGCACTTTTGTTATTTTAAGGCACCCTCATTCCTTAGCTCAGATACTTGATTCGTTTTTTATCCACAGGCTTTTTCCTGATTGTTCAGACCTGTGAGATAGAGTTCATCAGAAGCCCCACTAAAACAGCTGTGATTTCATCCAGGAATATAATTCTTTCTAATGGATTATTTCATGTTTTATTCATGTAGAAATAGTACATACTGGTGAGTGGTAGATCTTGTTACAAATATATTTATAACAGTTTGAGAGAACTTAAACTATAAAGATATTTTGGGACACACACTTTATGAACATCTGAGTCTGAGCACATGCAATGTTCATTTTTTTTAAACTTTCTTTTTACTTACTCTTTGTGTCTTTCAGATCATGCATCTGGATCCCATTCATTTTCCCATCCCTTCATATCAACCCTTTGCTCTTGCAACCTCATCCACAAAATAAAATAAAATTGAAGGAAAAAAAAGAAAAAGTCTGGTTATGGAAGCTGCAGTGTGACACAGTGAGTCATGCAGTAAACCCTTTTGTCCATGTATCTTTACTGCCAAGTGTTCTTTGCAGAGTCATTGGTCAGGATCAAGGCCTCTGGTCTCTGCTACACTATTGATGCTGGGCCCTCACTGGGGCTCCTCTTGGTTATTCTGTTGTTGCCCTGTGTCATGGAGACCCTGCTGCTTTGGGTCTGCAGGACCAGCCCCTTCATGTGCTCCTGCAGATCATAGATGGGGTTGATGTTGGAGTGGGTCAACTTATAACCCTGGCTCTGGGCCTGGGTAGCTGCCGGGTTGGTCAGTCCAGCAGCTCTCCCCCATCCTCACCACCAAAGTGAGCTCTCCAGCATTGCTCTGGCTAGTTTACCCCTTGCAGCAATGAGCGAAGTGCAGCGCCAGTTCTGCTTCATGCCCTTAGGGTCATCTTTTGTAGATGAATTTCTAAGTGGTCTTATTAAATAAAATCTAGGAGCCAAATATAGGGGTGAAAATCTTAGAGATCAGGGAAATAGGACTAGCCACCAGCTAACCTTACCTCACCACTCCACAGCTTCCAAAGTGAGTTACTTCCTCTCTACCCGTGCCTTTATTGCCTTGCTGTTCTGCCCTCTCATTGGCTCTTAGCCCAGCTACCTGACTTCCTTGTCACTGCCTGTCTGTACAGACCTCCAGGTCTCCATGGTACTGGGATTAAAGGTGTGTGTCACCATGCTTGGCTCTGTTCCCTAGTGTGGCCTTGAACACAGAGATCCTGCCTGCCAAGTGATCAGATTAAGGGCATGTGCTATCACTGCCTGACTTTTGTGTTTACTTAAAATGGCTTGCTTGTATTTTGATGAATGAGGATTATAGTATGAAGGTGCTAAGACCCACAGCCTTAGCAGAGATAGACCGGAGCTCGTAGAGGCCGGAAGAGGGGGGTCTGATTCCCTGGAACTGACATTACAGTTTTTTGTGAATATTGGTGCTGGAAAATGAACCCAGTTGCCAGCGAGAGCTGTACAGGTAACCATTGGCTGAACCGTTTTTCCACCCCCTAGTGTAAAATGAAGTTATGCCAATTGTTCTCCTATAAGCAAGTGAATCATGTCTTGAAAAATAGACTGAAGTTGCCTAGCTGTGGGGTGATTGGCAACTGTTAGCTGCTTAGAAAGAGACAGTTTTCTCTAAGATGTAGCCCCTGGCAAGTCAACCACGCTCCAGTGAAAGGCACATATCCAAGAGTCTATGGGTCGCACAAATTGGTCTTGAAAAACTTTTAGGACACAAAGTTGGGTGGGGGAGGGATGTGAAACATTGTAGGAAACTCTCAAAGAACTAATGCTACTGAAAAAAAGGATGTTGGTTCTGTACTATACAAATGTTTATCATCAGAGTACATGGCAGCCTCTGGGTTTTTACTCTTATTCCAGCAGATGCAAACAGTCCTTTCTCCAAGTAAGTTTTGCCTTCTGCCCATCCCTCCTCTTCTCCTATCTGCCTTTATTTACATTAAAACTTGTTCCAAAAGAGCTTGAACTGGCTACCAAGGACTGTGTTTCAACAATTCTATCTGCCATTAACACTCTGTGCTGTTAGGTAATTCTGCAACCCTTGCTTCAGCTGACCTCTCTAACTTGGTGCATACCTGAGTGGCCATCAAGAAGCAATAGATTCAAAGGAACAGTATTTTTGAAAAGTGCAGAAATGTTATCTAATTTATAAAAATCTGACTCCTCTGTAGCTCTCCTTTCTAAAATTGTTCTCTCTCTCTCTCTCTCTCTCTCTCTCTGTATGTGTGTGTTTTGTAGGCAGGTATGTGTGCACATGTGTATGAGTATGCTTGCCTCTGGGGATGGACGTAGAGATTAGAGGTTAGCATCTGGATGTCTTTCCCAAATTGCTTTTTCCCCTTCCTGTTTGAGATGGGGTCTTGCTGTGGGATGGTCTGTATATCAAATGTGTGCTCTGATTGGTCAATAAATAAAACACTGATTGGCCAGTGGCCAGGCAAGAAGTATAGGCGGGAATAACAGAGAGGAGAATTGAGATAACAGGAAGGCAGAGAGAGACACTGCCAGCCCGCAGCCATGACAAGCAGCATGTGAAGATGCCGGTAAGCTACGAGCCATGTGGCAAGGTATAGATTTATAGAAATGGCTTAATTTAAGATATAAGAACAGTTAGCTAGAAGCCTGAGCCATTAGGCCAAACAGTTTAAACAATGTAAGTATCTGTGTTTACTTAGTTGGGTCTGAGCGGCTGTAGGACTGGCGGGTGACAAGAGATTAGTCCTGACTGTGGGCCAGGCAGGAAAACTCTAGCTACAGGGTCTGTTACTAAACTCGAAGCTCACAGTTTTGGCTAGCCTGGCTAGCTATCCAGTCTCCATGATCTGCATGTCTGCACCTCCTGGTGCTGGGGTACAAGCATGTGCTGCTGTACTCAGCTTTTATTTGAGATCTGAGGATCTGGACTCAGGTCCTCATGCTTTTGTAGGAAACACTTTATCCACTGAATCGTTCCTCCAGCCCAGTTCTATTTCTTCTTTCTCTAGCTTTGGTATAACACACTTGTGGAAGACTATAGCTGTAGATCTCTAAGTTCTTCTCTGACCATTCCAGGGTGATCAGGAGGCTTCTGTCACCAACTACATGCCTTCCACACTTTGACTTCTGTTCCTCTTATGTTGCCATGACTTCCATGTCTGCTGATACCCATGCTCAGTTATGCCAGGGCCACTGCTGATTTGCTATACTCAAAAAGTATATAAAGTAATATAAATATAAATAGTAAATAAAGTGCTTCTTGCTAAAGCATGACAAACTTAATTTAATTTGTAGCACCCATACATAAAAAAAAAAAAAAGCTGAGTGTAGCTGGGCATTTCTATGATCCACGTGCTGAGGAGGCAGAGGTCAGAGGATCCCTGGAGCTTGCTGGCCAGTCAGCCTAGCTGAATTGGTGAACTCCAGGTTCAATAAGAGACCTTATCTTCAAACTAAGTAGGAAGTGATTGATGAAGACATATAATATTGCCTTATGATTTCCACATGCAATGATACACACATAACACACACACACACACACACACACACACACACACACACACAGAGTCACCTCAAATGTCCCAGATCTTCAGTCATGACGTCATGCTGTGGAAACAACCTGCTGATTTTTCTGTATGTATCATTTGCCCGTGGTTCCAACAATCCCATGCTGAGCTTCTTCACACATTTCTTGTCACCTTGAAGTGCAACATGAGGTGATGCATATCCCATGTCTCCTGGGCCCCCTTGGCTCTTGCTAACTTTGGTCTTCCTTAGAAAATTCCACTTAAATGACTCTTATTCCACAGTATCTTTACTTCAATTATTTGGATTTCTAGCTGGATGTTAGGTAAAGAAATCTGTATGAAAACAGTAAAATTAGCAAGTAACAGATGAGCAAATCAACAAGTGTGGTGTTGACACTCTCAACAAACATTTGTTAAGTGCTCAATATTTGTGAGAACCTCCAGGTAAGGTTGAATGATCCCTTAAGGACATTTACACTATTCTCAGATTACCATCTCATGGTAGTATGACAATGTCAATTTACCAATACCGCCAATACCCACACTGGATCCTGTACCCCAGGAGGCCAGGTTCCAGTGATTCTTACCCTTATAAAATCCACAGCACCTGAACGTCAGACCTAAACACCTTAACATAGATATTTGATAAACATCTCAAATACAATATATCCAAACTGAACTTTTGGTATTCCTTCCCCAAGCTTACTCCTTTTATATGTGCCTTGAGGATGGTGTCCTGATTCTGGCTTCTAAGGTTAATGACCCCACACATACATTCAGTATGTACTCCTCTTTTTCACCCCCCCCTCCACACCATCAGCAAATCCTGCATGTTCAACTTCCCCTATTCTCTGTTCCCACCTGGTCATTTATGTGCAAAATGAGGGTGGAGAGGTGCGCAAATCACTCTGACGTCACTCTCAGAGCACAGAAGATGAAGACCCTCCTGATGTGACATTGGGACAGTCCTGACACAGAGCACCTCTTTACTCTAGGTGTCTCGACTTAAACCTTGCCCTGTCTCTTGGCCATGTCGTACCTGGATGGAACCATAAGCCTCTACTTCTCCCTCAGCCCTCCTGTGGTTGTTTCCAAGGCAACGGGCAAATAACACTCTCACACAATGGTGGGATCACAGCTACCTTGTCCTCCTTCAGTCCAGTGGCTTCCGATCAAGTCAAAGTCGATGTGTTTTGTTGGGTGACGGCTGGCCAGCCTGCCCTCACCATTTCATTCGGAACTCTTCTTCCCTCCAACCCTTCACTCCACTGAGCCTTGAACATCTCAGACACACTCCTGATTCAGTGATATTGCACTTGTGCCTTCTTCCGGGAAGACCCTGAGCTCAGATGCCCTTCATTTCTTTTTAGGTCTTATTCAAATAGAGCTCTGCCCCGGCCAACCTTCCACAGTGTTGGCATATCCTTCACCTTATACTCTGCTGATTTTTCCCCTTGGCACTTCTCTCCATATTATACAGATACATGAATATAATTATAGTTTTTGTTCCCCCTGCTCCTACTCTGAACATATTGTAAGCTCTAATCAGGCAGAGATTTCTGTATCCTTCATGGATGTAACCAATGCCTGTATTCTCAGTGCCATATTAATAAATAATTATAATTGACTGAACACTGTATCCACAGATGGATGGCTGTCCTCATCTCTTTTTAATAAATTTACTCTGTTTTATTGTATATCCCTGTTCTGAGGTCTTAGGCATGAGGCCAAGAAACCTGAGGCAGTCTCTGAGCTCAGAATGTTTAGGCTACAACTTCCCTCTTCCTGTGTTGTTCTGGAATGTGTTTCCTTAATCACATGGTGCTCCATAATCTTCTAGACAATACCAGAAATACCCAGATTCTGGGGTACACAGTAACTGAGGTTCCTAGTACATTAGA